GGGCGTGAGAAACGAGAGGTGTGGCCGCGATCACTGGCGCTCACTTCATCATCACCGCTGCCGTTAAATGCTATACAGTATATTTCTATTTTCTTTGTCGTACACCGAGATGAGTGACGGATTCTCATCCCGGACTCGATAGCAGACGCAAGTTTACTACGGGCTACCAAGACCCTCACAATCTGCTGGCTCAATCATTTTTCCAATGGCCATTTGTGTGGAAATATTATGCTATTATTATACTTAATATAATCTGTAAACAGCCATTAACAGAGGCCAGAGATGCTGAAGAAAATACTGTAGCAGGCAGAACAAGATCACTGTTCACGATGCGCCAAATATAGGAAGAAATCCAAACATTGAATTCTATATGAATGTGTTTCTGAGGGGGACGGAACTGACTGTTTTCAGAAATGGCGTTTTCTTTTCATTTTATCCGTATGATGCATTTAAATTAGTATTAATACAGGCAGCGCTGTGTTTACAGCAGTAACCAAGGAAACGCTGTATTACTGTACCATAGGGCTGGGCGATAATTCGATAACGATAATTATCGCAGTATAATTTTCCTCGATAAAGCGATATGAAGAGTTCGATATAATGTTTATGTGCCAAAACCGGAACGAAACAGCGCGACATCGCACCACACGGACCGTTTATCCGCTCGGATCAAAGTTCAAACTGCCACGCGGTTTGTAGGGGTGGGTGGGGGTGCTCCGATTGATCGGCTACCGATCACTATCTGCCGATAATCGCTTTGGGATGATTGAGCGGCGGTCTCTAAAAAGGCCGATCTCAAGCTGATGATCAAGGTTTGGCACGACATGCAGCGGCACCGTCTCAGTCTCTGTCCGGCGCGGGTGAAATAATTGTAATAAGGTGAGGTACTCCTTCATATTTCTTAATTAAATAACTTATAAAGTAATTTGAAAACCTTGTGTGAGACGTAATTCCACAAACAGCGTGAAATATCTCTCAAAATATGCAAATGTCTTCAAATCACCACAACGCGTCTGCACTATAAGTGAGCTGCACGCTGTACAGTTGACACAGGAATTGTCACTTGCACAATCGAGGCAGTGTCACATCATCACTAAAGTTTATAAATTGCATTTCTTTTTATTTCTTGCCAGTGTTTAAACGATTCAGCGCTCGCGCGCTCTCCTGGAGACTGTGCACTCATGCCCACTCGCAGCGCGCACACATAACGCCAGGTTCACATTACTCCGTTTGCAGTGCATATGTGGTGCGTATTTTTTCCGCGCTCATGTTAACGGA